GGAGCTGGCTGTACGCGGTACCGGTGCGGCGCGATGCTCGGGAGGGCCGGCGGCGTGGAGCTGGCTGTACGCGGTACCGGTGCGGTGCGATGCTCGGGAGGGCCAGCAGCATGGAGCTGGGTGCTGCATGAAGCATTTCGGGTTAGACTGGCTCTGTGATCACCTATGGCCGGGCGACCCCCCCCCAGCCCAGCTCACCCAGGACTAGCTGCAGGGGCTTTGGAAATGGAACTTGTTCGGGTTTTGTCATTTTTAGGTGGCATTACAAAGCCTCACCGGAGCTTTTATCCCTCTGAATCAGCAGACAGAGCAAACTCCCTCCTTTGGCTTCACAGGAGCGTCCCATCCCCGCAGGGACCAGGGGCAGTCCCTGACCGTGAGCTCGCTCCTCTCCCGGGACCTAAGGAACCACTGCTACTGACTCCGCGCCCTCTCCGTCTGCCACACTGCAGCTCTCTGTAGGGCCTCTGGCAGGAGCCCCATTGGCTGAGGACATAGAGATCCTGGTGCCGGGGTGACTTTGGTAGGCCGCACTGCTGGTGTAACCCACACACCTCCTGGGTGTGGTGTTCTGTCCCATCAGTGGCACCGAGACCACTTTGAGAGAGAGATAAAATGAGTTTGCTCTACAGCCTTAGCTAACAGCCAGTTGGCTTTGAGCTCATGCAGCAGAGGCTCATGCACTAAGCTCCCGAGGTCCCAGGTTCGATCCTGCCCGGCAACGACCGGGGTCTGTGGGCGTTACAGTAGGTCAGAGGAAACATCTGTAGCACACATGCATGCAATAGGGAGAAAGCAGCTCAGCCTGGGGGGTGGGGACGGGGTGGTTCCTGTCCCTGTCACCATCTCCCGCGTGTGGTAGCCCCAGAGGGCTGTCGGGCAGGAGACCCCAGGATCTCTGTGCTAACCAGAAGGCAGTGCCTGGCTGGTGAATGGAGTGGGTCTAGCCAGCACACCCTCCAGAGGTTGCTGGAGTTCGTTCTCACCCCCGAGGCGTAGCCTGCTGTTTGGTTTGGTTCATGAAGCATAAGCCTGGCTGGCCTGGCCCTTTTTCCACACACATCCGCAACCGTTGCACAGTGCCTGGCACATTGGAGCTGGCGGGGCTGGAGTCGCCGAGCCTGGGGGTCACCGCAGGGCCCATAGGGCAAAGGTGGGTCTCGCCTTTCCATTGGAGAAGAGAAAATCACGGGGAGTTCTCGACCGCCTAAATATGGAGCTGGGAGGCCTGAGGTCTCTGACAGAGCCAATCCGCTGGCAAGGAATTTCTCTAGCGGCGCTGAAACTCCTGCAGGCCATGCTGTGCTGGCTGACAGAGCTGGAGTGTCTGGGAGCTATGACGTGAGGAGACGCGAGGGACACTTCACCCACCCGGTCCCAAGGAGCAGGCTTGGACAGCAGCTTGCTGTACAGCCATCCCCCACAAACAGCACCACAGACTGCCAGACTAGAGCATCTCTGTAATGGCTTGTCGGGCGTTTGCCACTGACCGTCTGGGTGCGGCACAGGGGCAGGGTGAGAATACCCTCAAACCAGAGGCTGCATGTGGCAGGAATGGAGGAGGTGGGAGCCCATCAACTGCAGAGGTGCCTGAGAAGTGGTTTTGTAGGAGGGGAAAGAGGTGGGACTGGATGCTATGGCCGGGAGCACGCTCTGCCTGGGCTGTCCAGAACAGCTCCTCCTGCTGGCATTCGGCTCCCTGTGTGCGGTGCTCCCAGCTGTTTGGAGCAGGCACAAGGCTCCCTCCGTCTGACAGACAAAAAGGTTCCCATGATCCTCAGTATTGCCAATAAGATGGATCCACCAGTGGAGGGAGACCCCATGGCATAGGGCTTCTACTTGTCCTTTGGGCAGTCATGTTTGGTTGGAGGTCGGAATCTGTCCAGGGCCGCCTTGTCTTGGTGCCTCAGAGACGACTCGGGAGCCTCTGAACCATTGCAAGAGAAGGCCAGATCCCTGATCGCCGGTGGGACTGACAGTACAGATGGCTGCGCTTCAGGGCTGGTGCGTGGAATGGGGGAATGACTGTCTCCTCGTGATATACTCCTCCCCCGGTTAACAATGTCCTGGGATATAGATGGGCCAGACAGGAGTGATGAATGTGTATAGGGGAGAGCAAAGATTTCTTCTGAGGAAATGTATGTTTCCGACTGTCTTGGAGTACGAGGAAAGTGGTGGCTGCTTAGATGAGACGAGAAGGATTTACAGACTTCCCATACCTCAATGACTGACTTCTCACAGGTGGCTCCTACAAGGAGGTCCATGGGTCAGTCTGTGTTCTGCTCAGCCTTTTACCTTCCCTAGGTGTCTGCGTCAGTCACGACAAATCCATGTTGACACCCATGAGGTGCATAGACTTTGTAGGGGTGACGTTCGACTTGACTACAGCAGGAGCGTATCTACCTCTCGAAAGGTTTCAGGCCACAAGCACCGTCATACACCAGGTCACTCTCAGACCCAGGACATCAATCAGAACTTGCCTTTCCCTCCTTGGCCACATGGCTTCTTGCATACACACGACACTGTTCTACAGGCTACATCTAGGATGCCTACAAGCCTGGCTTCTCTCCGTGTACTCGCCCAAAAGATCACCATAAACAACAAGGTCACGATTCCGCCCAAGGTATTAAGCTCTCTTGTCTGGTGGACAAAACTGGAGAAGGTTCAGGTAGGGATCCCTTTCCTCAAACCAACACCTCAGGCAACCATCTCAGCTGACACCTCCCTCTTGGGTTGGGGTGTGCACACGGGCAATCATATGGGACAGGGTATCTGGACCTCCTGAGAGTCCAGAATGCACGTAAACTTACTAGAATTCATGGCAGTCCATTGGGCCTGCAATGCTTTCCTCCCACTCATCCAATCCAAACATGTTCAGATACTGTTGTCATATTGTCCGACATTATTTTATATAAAGCAAGGGGGAACACAACCTCTCTCTTTGTGCATAGAGGCAGTCACCTTCTGGAATTGGTGCATCAAACATCACATAACCCTACCAGCAGCATAGTTATTGGGGGTGCAAAATTCCCTAGCAGACTGCCTGAGCAGACACTTTTCCGTGAATCACAGATGAGAAATTCATGATTCAGTTCTCAATGATGTCTTCACTCAATGGAGAATGCCGGCCTGGGATCTTTCCACCTCACAGGTGAACAAGAAGTCCTCAGTACTTCTCCACAGCAACCCTGGGCAAAGACTCTTTGGGAGATGTTCTCTTGATGTCGTGGAAGGGTCACCCGGGGTGTGCTTTCCCTCCACTTCCTTTGATACCACAAGTTTTACAGAAGAGCAAAGAAGACAGATCTCTAGTCATCCTCATCGCACCCAACTGACCGAGACAGCCAGTTCTGGTTCAGGGATTTGTTGAAGCTCTCAGTACAGCCGTCCATGAACATCCCCACATTGCCGGACCATCTAATGTCACACACTCCAGCTCACGGCCACTGCAGCTCAGAGCCTGGTATTTGGATGGGCATCAGACATTCATGTTCCAAGAGAGTGCGATCCACCCTTAACCAAAGTAGAAAAGATTTTAAGGGAAGCTGTTACTGAGCTAATGGAAGCGTTTCTCCACTTGGGCTTATCAACGCAATTTGTCTTCAAACTCTGCTGGACTCTCCAACATCTTAGAGCATCTGCTTACCCTTAACTCTTTGGGTCTTGCATTCAGTTCCCTGCAGGTGCATTTAGCAGCAATCAGCACTTTCCATCCTGCAGTGGATAACCACGTGATCTTCACTCACCTTTCACAACTAGGTTTTTGAAGGAGATTCTCCAATCCTTTCCACTAGTGGTGAAGTTTGCACCTCAGTGGAACCTCAGTTTTGTTCTATCGTCTCTCTCTAAGACTCCCTTTGAGCTGCTGGCCATGTGCTCTGTGACTCACCTGTCTGCCAAGGTGGGCTTTCTGATAGCTGTAACATCAGCCAGATAGCTATAACGTCAGTGACCTGGGAGCACTTACAGTGGGTCCACCACGTACTCCCTTCTATGAAGAAAAGGTCTTGCTACACCCCCACCCCAGATTCATATCCAGGGTAGTTTCATGAGAGCCAGGTCATCATACTTTTTCCTAAACTACATGCCTTGGAATAGGAGAGATCTCTGCAGCCTCTGGACTTCCAGAGGGCTTGGCTTTTTATCTGCAAAGAACAAAGGATGTTAGAAAGGCACCTAAACTATTTGTTTCCATAGCAAAGTGATCAAGAGGTCAACCTATATCAGTGCAGAGACATTTGAAATGGATCTTGGGTTATATTGCCTTTTGTTATCTATTAGCTGGCATCTCCCCGGAAGGGATAAAAGGGCAAGCTACTTCAGCTGCAGCCCTGAGAGACATACTCATATTAGAGATATGTAGGGCAGTGACTTGGAGCTCTTTGCATGCCTTCATGAGACATCACACCCTGGAACCCTCCTCAGCTGTGGATACGGCTGTGGGGAACTGTGCAGTCGGCTATCACTTCTGCATCCTTGCACCCACCATCTGTTTGACTACTGCTTGTTAATCTTCTACGCATGGAATACGATAGGGAGCATCGCTCAAAGGAGAGGAGGTTACTTACCTGCAACTGGAGGTTCTTCAAGACGTGTGGTCCCTGTCTGTATTCCACTGCCTGCCCTTCGTCCCCTCTGCTGCGTAGTCATTACACTGCAGCGAGAATGGGAAACTGGAGGTGCCAGCCTACATGCCCTTTATGCCCTCGGCTGGGAGCAGAGCAGACCTACAGCACATGTGCCGGCCAACGGACACTGCTTGCAAGAAATGCCAGAGTCAGGCGTGTGGTGTGCTTGCATATCCCAGGCGTGGAATACAGAGAGGGGCCTCCAGGTACAGACAAGTAACCTTCATGGATTTGCTGAGCTCTCGTCTGTGCCCAGAGTAGATGTGATGGGCGGGAGGCACAGTTTGCCCTGTCCTATCTCTGCATTTCCCTTCTCATTGCTGCTCACCAGCTCCCTCTGTG